AGGAGGCCAGTCCTGGCATCTCCACTGCCTCGTGCAGAGGAAGCAGATCCCAGCAGAGGAGGCAGGTCACAGCAGGGAAGGGCAGTTGTGGGTGATCAGGCTGGCAGAGGAGGGCAGTTGGGGTGACCGGGCCTGTAGGGGAGGGCTGTTGTGTGCAACCAGGCCTGTAGGGGAGGGCAGTTGGGTACAACCAGGCCTGCAGGGGAAGGCAGGGGAGGGCGACTGTTCTCCTGTAAATGATTACTCCAGACCCTCACAATTTGATTGGTCCAAAAAAGCACTGTCCTGATTGGCCAAAACAGAGCAGCTCTAATTGGTTGGGGAAGATGCTAATGAGGATATAGCTCATTTTACCAACTGGATAGGTAAAATCTCAATCCTATTGGGTGAAATGGGATTCCAGGAACTCCTTTATAAGAGTTGGCTCAGCCAACAGGAATACAATGCAGATAAATAGCTTAGTACCAGAGGCAAGTAGTATAGTGCAGGCTTCTCCCTGAGTGTGGCTTGCATGAGAGGCCCCTTTTAGCAACAGCTGCCAGTCTGTTTATAAATTTGAGCCCAGTTAGCCAGTAGGAGCCCTTTTCAACAGGTACATTTATTTTCCGGGTCAACAAAACCTTTCTTAAACCTTCAAGAAAGGATGGTAAAAACAGCCTCATATAAATTATGAGGATTAAGTGACTCTCCATACACAGGGTGCTTACAACAGTGCCTGGCACAAGGTATGCCCTCAATGAGGATGTAGCTGGAACACTATGGTTTCTGGGGTCAGATAGGTTTGGATGGCCATGTGTGGACCTAGGTACAGATTGGTCATAACAATATAAAAACACTTGAAAGTACAAATCTGACATATTTTAGTTATATCTGATTAGGTAAACAGGCAGCACAGGTGCAAGTTGTACATCTTAGGACACTGTGTACTTTTCTCATTTTCAGAAAGACACACTGAAAAATGCTTTTTATGGCAACAATTTTTAAGAATAGTGATGTGTGGTGTACAGGGTAACACACAAAACAGGGAGAATATGTCTGCATGACCAAATCCTGGAACTTGTAGAGAATGACCATTTGCACAACTGAGAAGTCCTTGAGTGATGGGGAAAATCAAGCTTTGTATTTCTTTTCCCTTCACAAATTGGTATAAAAGTATTAAAAGCAAAAATATTACTGAAAATATATTTAGCAGAAGTTGAGATTAGCCAAGAAGCTGGGAACCCTCCCACTGCAGATGAGAGAATTTTGTTTGCATATTGTCCTGCTGGCTAATCCATTACTGTAAGGAAAGGATGCACAATGTGCAAAGGAAAAAAGAACGAGGCAGCTGGAGGCTGCCTGTTTTTAAATTCATGTTTAAGGGAATTGTCCTCTTAACCTAAGGCATGCATACAGTTTGGGGCTATTTTATCGAAGACTCTGGGGTTCAGGCACAGTAACCTGTGGAACCAAGCCTGCTGCAAGGTCAGGGTGCTATTTAAAAGCAGTTGCTGAATATGGAAGAAGGCAACATCTTAGGGAGATGCCACTGTCAAAGTTAGGCAAACTCAGGTGGACAGGAGAACCTAAGTGCAAAATCAATCAGCTGGAGATGAGTTAAGACCTAACAATAGAGAAGAATTAAAGGAATTTAAAAGGGGAAACTTGAAGTAATTTTTTTTTTCTCCTTGAGAGCAGGCAGTTTCAGTGGCTGTTCATGGGAATTCATAGACATTGAAGAATGTAACGAAGTCTTGATGTTACTCCTCTACTGAAATGGTTCCCCAGGCCGAATGCACTTTGCACTTCCAATGGGTTTGCCCACTTGACAACTCCAAAGTACATGAGGAGGGTACTGTAAGAGGTGGACTGAGGTCCATTTCTCTGGCTCATATCTTAGCTACAGTCTAGGTGAGGGGGTGGGGAGATTGGCTCACATATAAAGTCTAGCACTTCCTCTGCCACATGCACATTAGTCATCTGGAAATGGCATAGTCGTGGGTGTGCTGGGAAGTCTTCTGAACTATGTAGGCCAGAAGTAGTGAGGGATGGGCTGGATGTACTGAGGACTGCACCTCACCGGCCCTGACTCAGTAACACTGAAGGGTGGGTCCCAGTGGTCCCCACCTTTGTCCATGGGTGTCTATGTGACTAGTCAGCAAGGCTAGGAAAGTGAGATACAGAATGAACTGTTCCTAGGAATCGCTAATGTGTAGGGAGCAACCTGGCTTAGGGTAATGTCCCTCTCAAAAATTGCTAAAATCTTCAGTTGGTAGAGAAGGTAACTGAGGAACTCTACCTCAAAGTTCTTGAAAATGCATTTCTAGGGTGAGCCAAAAAGTGATGCTTGGGTAGGTCAGACTGCCCTGGCAGAGTGCCATGCTACTTAGGATTCAAAAAGTACAGAAGAGGCAGCAGGGCAAATGCTGACCCCCTTAGTTGAGGTCACACAGTAATATGTCAATCATATGGCAGAATATAATAAAGCCACAGCTGAAGGCCTGGTCAAACAGCATTTCCATAAATACATTCAGTTGGCCAGGCATATCTAATAGACCATTTATAAAAAATGTTTGCCACCCCAAACAGGAAAAAGTGAATAGGCAGTTTTCAGAGGTCCAATTTCATCCAGACCCAAGCATGACAGGAGCTGGGTTCAGGGAAAGCTGACTGCAATATCAAGTGAAAAGCCTTCTGATGGCACTGGTTCTGGTGTAAGAACTGCTGGATCTGTCACAGGATGAATGAGGCTCTTAAGTGGCAGTTGGTCTTGGCCCCAGCTGAACTGCAATCACATACTGAGTGGTGGTAGCTCTCAAAACAAACAAATTCAGCTTAGAAAACTATTTCTCCATGATTCAAGGTAAGGGATGAGAGTTAGGATGAGGAAAACCATATGAGTAATGAAGGCAAGTATCTGTAGTGATGAGCACAGTTTATCTGGTTTATTGTGGAATTGAGGCGTCACCAGCCACGTGAGGCTGTAGGAAAACATGCCCTGGGCATGGATAGTCCCAAATAACCTTTTGAAATGCTGCTTTACCTGCAGCATAATAGTGAGGTGAGTCACTGTTTTTCCTAACAGGAGATGCCTACAATTGGCCTTTATGAAATGAAAGCTGTATTTTGAGAACTTGAGCTTTAAGGCTGCAGGAAGTTTCAATTCTGTTTAATCTAGAGTCCAGATTCCACCATGACACATAATACTCTCTAACTTGGAGCAGAGTAGTAGCATTCATAGGGGGCAGCAGACTGCCCAACTTGGGGAACACTTCTGCAGACCAGGAACCTGCCCCCTTCTTCCCAGAACAATAGTTTCCTTGCTCTTTCACCTTTATGATGTAGAGTGCTCCAACCTGCAGTGGTGTGGGCTCCTCATTCTTTGTGGTGGGGAAGGGACAGAGCTACCAGAAGCTGTGTGTGTGTGAAGACACACAGATGTTATCTTATCTCTGATTTCTACTGACAGCACTGAAGGATTGAAGATGAGTGATCTGTACCTGCAGGACTAGAGTGTCACTCAAACATTTGGGTGTAGACACTGCTCCTGCCAGAGAATGTCATGGTGCCACTGACCACTTTTTGAGCAATGTATTACTCAACATGTTGCTCACTGCTGCCAGAATTGGACAACCTTTAGGTAGTGGAATACCCAGAAGAGAAGTGGCCACTTTCAAATGCAAAAGCAAAAAAAATAAAGCTCACTGCTTTCCCTATGAACACAGACTCTATCCCTTCAGAAAAATGTACAAAGGCAGGGCAAGGACCAGAATGCAGTTCAATATTCTGGTTGTAACAAACTCTAATGCAGGGGCCACTGAGGACTGTTCAGCTGAAGAGAGTGGGTCAGAGCCTTTTGAGAATTGGTTGTGGGGCTCCAACTTTTCTTGTAGGTTGCACATCAGGAAATGACAAGTCACAGAAGTAGAGGTAAACTAAAATACCACCAGGTGGCTGGGATTGTCACACCTGGTTAAGCATGCCCCCGCCTGCTGTGTTTAGAGTAACTGCAGTACAAACAATTGGAGAATGTTTACAGAATCTAAGCCCATATTTTAGATATCACCCCAGGATCAGAGTCAAACTAAGACCCAGAGGAACTGGGTAACTCAAGAATCTTTATTAATCTCTGAAACCCCAGGCAAAAGTTCTAAGTTCTGAAAGTTGAATCATGCACTGTGTGTGAGGTATACTCCCCAAGAACATATGGGTTGGTAATAAGTGGCATGATGTTACTAGTTAGGGGTTGCTAAATCAAAAGAGGGACATACCATTTAAATGAACTGTCCAAGAAAGAGAAGACAGACAGTGGACACACAGACCAAGGAGATCAAATGATGGTTTGAAGCAGGAAGTGGAAAGCAGTTTAAGTAAGTCCTGGGCTGATGCATGAGTAGTAAATACATTTTCTTTACTCTAGGGGTCTCTTATATAAGAGAATCAAGTAGAGGGAAATGCTAGCAAACTATTTTCTTACCTTTTTGTTCCTTATTTTTTAAACTTAATTTTTACAATTTTATAATATATTTTAATAATTAAAATGTAAATTTGATCAACAAATTTTTATATTATTAATAAAGTTCCATTTTGCTTCTAACATTTGGTAATTCAGACTAATTACACAGTATCGCTATTCTGTTGGGGCAGTTCTTGAACCATGAGGAGTGTTTGACATTCTAAAACTATCAAAAACCATGTAAAGCATGACTCTCAGTAAATAAAATGACTATCTTAATATAAGCTTTCATAGTTATTCTCTGGAATGGATTCTCTTTTTTTTTTTTTAATATATTTTATTTATTTTTTATTTTATTTTTTATTTTTTATTTTTTTACAGAGAGGAAGGAAGAGAGATAGAGAGCTAAAAACATCAATGAGTGAGAAACATCGACCAGCTGCCTCCTGCACACCCCCCACTGGGAATGTGCCCGCAACCAATGCACATGCCCTTGACCAGAATCGAACCTGGGACCCTTCAGTCCGCAGACCGACGCTCTACCACTGAGCCAAATCGGCTTTGACTGGAATGGATTCTCTTAAATTCAATTATTCATATACTCAGGCTCAAAGCCCTTCCTTATAAACTGCAATCATATCACTTTTCTCCAAAATGATGTTTCTGATGCTGAATGAGGTTTGCAGTCTGGTTGAACGCTTTCCCACATTTATTACATTTATAGGGTTTCTCTCCTGTGTGAATCCTCTGATGTTGAGTAAGGTGTGTACTTCGGATAAAGGCTTTCCCACAGATTTTACATTTGTAAGGTTTTTCCCTAGTATGAATTCTCTTATGTTGAGTAAGAGCTGAATGGTCACTGAAGGCTTTCTCACATATATTACATGTATATGGTTTTTCCCCAGTATGAATTCTCTGATGTTGAGCAAGGGCAGATTGGTCCCTAAAGGCTTTCTCACACAAACCACATCTGTAAGGTTTTTCTCCAGTATGAATTTTCCGATGTCGAGCAAAGGATGAATTATCTCTGAAAGCTTTCCCACATTCGTTACACTTATAAGGTTTCTCTCCAGTATGAATTCTCTGATGTTCAGTAAGGGAAGAGTTCACCCTGAAGGCCTTTCCACATTCATTACATTCAAAGGGCTTCTCTCCAGTGTGAATTCTCTGATGCTGAAGAAAACTTGTACTCTGGTTAAAGGCTTTCCCACATTCATTGCATTTATAGGGTTTCTCTCCACTATGAATATTCTGATGTTTGGTAAGATGTGCCCTGCACACAAAGGCTTTGTCACATATATTACATTTAAAAGGTTTCTCTCCTGTATGTATTCTATGATGGTGGGCTAGGTGTATGTTTCGGATAAAAGCTTTTCCACATAAGTTGCATTCAAAAGGTTTCTCTCCAGTGTGAATTTTCTGATGATAAGTAAGTGAGGAGCTCACTGAGAAGGCCTTGCCACATTCCTTACATTCATACGGTTTCTCACCAGTGTGAATTCTTTGGTGATGGATAAGGTGTGTACTCTGGTGAAAGGCTTTCCCACATTCTCTACATTTATACCGTTTCTCTTTAATGAGAGTTTTTGGTTTTGAGTTAAGTTTTTCAGTATGAATTTTCTGATGTTTATTAAGCGTTGAACTCTTAGTGAAAATTTTCCCACAGTCACTACACTCAAAGGCTTTTTTGCTAGATTGAAATCCCTCACTTTGAACAAGAGATGAATTCATAATGCAGTGCTTCCCAGATCCATCACATTCCTGGTCACTACCCATAGATGAGATTTTCTGGGGAGTAAGTACCATTTTCTGCAACTTTATCTCCTGGACTCCATGCTGCCATTCCAATAGGCTATCATATTTCCAATGACTATTGCTAGTGAATCTTTCCTTTATCATCCAATAATCCAATTCTTCTTCAGGAATATCTGCCTTGAAAGTAGATTTCTTATTCACAGGAATAGTGATCCAGTCTGAAAGTCAAAAATAAAAATGTTTGTTTTATCCTAATGAAACGTCTAGTTGGGGTATGATGATGAGACTGTTTATAATGCTAATAAAAAAGGTTGCAGTTTTGAAGATTTCCTGAAGAAAGGAAAGAGGAGGCGAGGTGAACAGAGGACAAGCAGAAAGGGGTTGATCTAATGCATAATGCATTAAGCAGGAGACCTTGGGAGCTTGAGTTCTAAAATCAGGCCTGGGTTTGGACCTTGAGTATAACAGTTATTTTATTTGTGATTACAGAGAAGTTACCAGACTTTCTGAGCCACAAAAAAAACAGTACAGATCACACTATGCCAACAGATAAGAATAAATGTACCTTGTTTATTTTACTGATATGGTCTTTAAATTAATCCAGATGTAACCTTAAGAAACCAATGAAACTAGATGCAACACTAAGCAGGAAAAAATCAACTCTAGAGTAATTACTAAAATCAATATTTAATGTTTTATATACTCATTTTAGCATTCAGATGGATAATAAAAATGCTCTGATTAAGGCTGTATGAAGGACTTCCTACTACTGGTGAGGAAGCAATGTCTTCAAACTGATATGAATAATGTAACATCTATTTGAAAACCAGGAACAAATCTGCAAATCTGCCATAATATACCCACTACATCTCTAAACATAAGGTCCTAAATCTAGGGAAGGGGGAATACTAGTCACTAGAATGGAAATCTGCTACTGGGATAGGAGCCATGGTCTCATGAATTATATGACAAATTCCTCTCCAAATACAAACTTCACAATTAACAACTGTCTCACTTGCTTTCATTCATGGGTTCCTTGGTATTTATAAGTAGAGTTATGAATGGCATATTAGTTTTGCATATGTATTTATGACTATCTGCCTTCATGTTAAGTTTATTTAAAACTCTCTGTTAAGATATGCAATAATGAAAGACTAGCTACTAAACACACATGATGCAGATTACTGGAAAGTGCTATTAAGAACAAGCTTCCCTCATTACTTCTCCCCCACTCCCCCACTCAATCCAGAAAATCTACAAAGAGCTATAATAAATAAATAAAGAAAGAAATACATAAACTCTTTGAAACTTATCTGAAAAATAAAGTTAAATAGATGCACTTTATGGTTAAATCCACTGAGCTCAGAATAATGTATCCTTTCTCAAAATAAAGAATGGTCAAAGTTAAACACCAATATTGCCAAATTTCAAAATCTTTTTTTTTCTTTTTTTTTTTTTGTTAAGGTATTATATATGTACATATCTTACCATTGGCCCCACCCACCAACTCCCATATGTGCCCTCACCCCCCAGTGTTTTTCGTCTATTGGTTATGCTTATATGCATGCATACAAGTCCTTCGGTTGATCTCTTATCTCCCCCATCTCTCCCTAACCTTCCCTCTGTAATTTGATAGTCTGATGCTTTATTGTTTCTATATCTATCTTTTTGTTCATCAGTTTATAATGTTCTTTATAAAATCTTTTTTTTAAATATATTTTTACTGATTTCAGAAAGGAAGAGGAGAAGGAGAGACAGAAACATCAATGATGAGTGGGAATCATTGACTGGCTGCCTCCTGAACGCCTCCTACTGGGGATCGAGCCTGCAACCCAGGCATGTGCCTTTGGCCGGGAATCAAACCTGGGACCCTTCATTCCACAGGCCAGTCCTCTATCCACTGAGCCAAACCAGCTAGGGTCAAATTTCAAAATTTTAAGAAGTGACTTTCACCTCCAGGTCTGATAGAGCAACCTGGGACAGACCAATATTCCTTAGAAAACTATTAAACAATCTGAAGTGAAAATTAAAAAATTATGTCTAAAGGCATAATATGTCACTTGAGGCCAACTTGACAGTCTAATTTAGGGGAGAGAAGGGAAATACAGAGATGTGATCCCAAAACTTAGTGGTTTTTAATCTCACCGAATGTGTTGAATTCTTATGCTTCTCAGGGCAAGAGACTAAAGTTAAACAGAGATTCAGAATTTTCTACTGTCTTACAGTACTGTGAAACCAAAAATTGGAGTTCAGGAACTTCAAAGGAAGGGAGGAAAGGCACAGTTAACATCGGAGGCTCTCATTTGGGACTGAAACATTTGCATTGCAGGGATACCAGAAGGAAAAAAAGAAATGGAAAATTTATTTAAAGAAACAATAGCTGAAGACTTTCCCAATGTGGGAAAGGAAATGTATATCCAGAAAGTACAAAGTTCCAAACATGATGAACTCAAAAAGACAAACACCAAAGCATAGTATAATTACAATTGCAAAAGTTAGAGACAATTTTGAAGGAAGCAAAAGGAAAGCATCAAGTTACATACAAAGAAAACATCATAAGGCTGAGAGCTGATTTATCAGCAACAACTTTATAGGCCAGAAGTGGCAGGACATCTGTAAGTGCTGAAAGAAAGGAACCTACAAACTAGAATACTATTTCCAGCAAGATTATCATTCAGAATTGAAGGACAGATAGAGTTTCCCGGACAAGCAAAAACTAAAGTTCATCATCATGAAACCAGCTTTATAGGAAATGTTAAAGAGTCTTTTTAAGCAGAAAAGGAAAGGCCATAACCAGAAATAAGAAAATAAGAGAAAGGATAAAAATCTCACAGTAAAGCCAAATATTTAATATTATAAATACAGTGAATCAGATATTTATAAGATTATTGTTCTAACTTATAAGCTACAGAGTCTTAGCTATGTGTCAGATATTTAAAAAGCTACTATGACAGTCAAAAGAAAAAGTATCAAACTCAACTCAAACCTCAAAACCACAATAAGTATTTAGGAGATATACCATACAAAAAAAAAAAACCCTAATACATGGCATCAATAATATAAAGCAAGAAGGCAGTTAAACTATAATCCTCAGAGAATATATTTGAACTTAAATGCCTATCAGTTTAGAACAGACTGCCATAATGATGTACATAAACCTCATGGTAGCCACAAACCAAAAAACTACAAAAGATATACAAAGAATAAAGAGAAAAAAGCCCACTAAAAAAAACCAGCAAACCACAAAGGAAGAGATCAAGAGAAAAGGAAAGAAACAGGAAAATAATAAAAACAATCAAAAACAATTAACAAAATGACAATAAGTACATATTTATCAATAATTTCTTTAAATGACAGTGAATTAATTGCTCGTATAAAAAGACATAGGGTGAGCGCTGGTCAGTTTGGCTCAGTGGGTAGAGGTTCAGCCCATGAACTGAAGGGTCGCAAGTTCGATTCCCAGTCAAGAGAGCATATCTCAACTGCAGGCTCAATCCCCAGCCCTGGTGGGGCACCTGTGGGAGGCAACCAATCGATGTGTCTCTCCCGTGTCAATGTTTCTCTCTCTTTCTCTTTCTCTTTCTCCTTCCAAACTCCCCTCCACTCTCTAAAAATACCAATGGAAAAAATATCCTTGGGTAAGGATTTTTTAAAAAGACAAAGAGAGGCATAAAAAAATAAATAAATAAATAAATAAAACTCATCTATATGCTGTGTACAAGAGATTCACTTAAAATCAAGACACCCAGTCAGTGTTGCTCAGTGGTTGAGAATTGACCTATGAACCAGGAAGTCACCATTTGCTTCCCAGTCAGGACACATGCCCCGGTTGTGGACTCAATCCCTGGTGGGGGACATGCAGAAAGCAGCCAATCAATGATCCGCTCTCATCATTGATGGCTCTAATTCTTTTTACCTCTCCCTTCCTCTCTGAAATCAATAAAAATGTTTTTTAAAAAGATCAAAAGTGCAGAAACCAGTTTGGCTTAGTGGATAGAGCATAGGCCTGCGGACTGAAAGGTCCCAGGTTTGATTCCGGTCAAGGGCATGTAGGGGGTGTACAAGAGGCAGCTGATCAATGATTCTCTCTTATCAATGTTTCTAACTCTCTGTCCCTCTCTCTTCTTCTCTGTGAAAAATCAATAAAATATATATATATTTTAAATAATAATAAATAAATAAGATCAAAAGACACACACAGAATGAAAGTGAAAGGATGGAAAAAGACATTCCATGCAAATAGAAATAAAATAAAAACTGGTTTAGCAAGGCTCATATCAAACAAAATAGATTTTATTTGTTTTGGGGGTTTTTTTTTAATATATTTTATTGATTTTACACAGAGAGGAATTGAGAGGGATAGTTAGAAACGTCGATGAGAGAGAAACATCGACCAGCTGCCTCTTGCACACCCCCCACTGGGAATGTGCCCGCAACCAAGTTACATGCCCTTGACCAGAATCGAACCCAGGACCTTTCAGTTCGCAGGCTGACGCTCTATCCACTGAGCCAAACCGGTTTCGGCAAACAAAAGACTTTAAAACACAATATTTTTTAAAAGACAAAGAAGGATATGACATAATTATGAAGGGGTCAATCCAAGAAGAGGCTACAATAATCATAAGCACCTACGTATCCAACATGTGAGCACTGAAGTATAAAAAGCAATTATTAATGAATATAAAAGGAGAAAACCATAGTAATATAATAAAAATAGGGGATTTTTTTCTTTTTAAAAAATATTTAACAAGTAATACTTTTTAAATTTAAATTCCTTATTGTTTAAAATATTACATAAGTCTCCTTTTCCCCCATTGATCTCTCCCCAGCCACCCCCACACCCCAGCACATGCCTTCCCCCTCCTCCCCCAGTCTGTGTCCATTGGTTAGACTCATATGCATGCATACAAGTCCTTTGGACAGTCTATTCGATGCTTTTATGACTCTGGTTCTGTTTTTGTTTATCAGTTTATATTGTTCATTATATTCCACAAATAAATGAGATCATGTGGTATTTATCTTTCTCTGACTGGCTTATTTTGCTTAGCATAATGCTCTTCAGTTCCATCCATGCTATCCCAAATAGTGAGAATTCCTTCTTTTTTACCGCAGCGTAGTATTCCATTGTGTAGATGTACCACAGTTTTCTAATCCACTCATTTGTTGATGGGCACTTGGGCTATTTCCAAATCTTAGCTATTTTAAATTGTGCTGCTAT